CCGCCGCGGGCTGCGGGGCGTGGGGCCGGTGCGCGGCGTGGGGCGGCTGGGCGCCCTGGAGCAGGCCGCGGAGGATGAGGCCTTGGAGAGGGGCCTCAGGGAAGAAGCACCGCTAAGCGGCTTTATTTCTTAAAGACGCGAGAGGTTTCGCTACCTGTAACATGCCATGTTTCTGTTAGTTTCTATACGCTAGATTGAAAACGTGGTTTATTTTCCCAAGTGGCTGTGTTGAAAGGTACTTTTTCTCATACACGTGTCACTTTAAAAATCATGCTTATTTAGAAGCAAAAGAATAAAAATATCACCTAACTCAGTTTAGGATTTAGGGGCGGATGGATTTTGTGTGTGTGCCTTGTGTCAAAGTTCCCATCTACTTGTGGCTTTTTTTTTTCTTTTCATAATTTATAAGCTTCATCACGATACTGCCAGGGCTCCAAGGTGTTTCTTCCCCCCCTCCGATTTTTATTTACTGAATTAGTATGTGTCTGTAGGTGTTTAATATTCAGTTTTTACTAAGCTTAGGAACTGGGCTTTCACCTGTTGAGCAGCTCTAAATAGATAACTTCTTTTTTTTTGAAGTACAGATAGAACTTGCGCTTAGTACAAAGTAATAGAGTAATTTGTGGTGGTGTAATGAATATCTGCTAGTTCATCAAAGTGATTTTTGCTAATTTACTTTCATGTGCTTCCATTTCAGTGGAGTAGAAGCTAAACAGCCCAACTCTGCCATCAGGAAATGTGTTAGAGTCCAGCTGATTAAGAATGGCAAAAAAATAACAGCTTTTGTTCCCAACGATGGCTGCCTGAACTTCATTGAGGTAATTTTCAAGACGTGATCTGTAAAAAGTTGTATATCAAAGTAAAGAAACACATCATTGATGGATTTAGGGGATGGTTAGGCAAGGGTTCATGGCATTCTGCACCACGTGTGTCTTAAAGCTGTAGTGGCAGAGGCAGACGAAAAATGCGAGAGGTGTTTTTATACTTTCCCCTCCCTTTGCAAAGCCAGTTCTCCACTGTGCTGCTGCAAGCTAAATGACATCCCTGCTTATGTTTCCTTTCTCCAAAACACTGAAGGGGATAACAGTCCTTTATTAATGTATACCTGTAATAGCCTTCAGTATTTCTACCCTTCCTTTAAATTTGAGCCACAGCCTAGGCTTTCTGATGTTACCCATTTCAGAAGTGTGTACAGGTTTAATGTTTATAGCTTTGTAACTCTCTCATCTTTCATTGCAGGAAAACGATGAAGTTCTGGTTGCTGGTTTCGGTCGGAAGGGTCACGCTGTTGGTGACATTCCTGGAGTTCGCTTCAAGGTTGTCAAAGTAGCCAATGTTTCTCTGTTGGCCTTGTACAAGGGCAAGAAGGAGAGACCAAGATCATAAATTTAGATTAATTTGCCAAGAATGTCAATAAAACTTTTGATTGGAAAAACTCCCATGCTTGTTATTTAAGGCTTACCATTTTTTAATGTGTATCTGCAAGGGACGCACCTCAGAGATGTTGGGGTGTGCTCTCTTTGCAGTTGGCAGCTGGGTTTCCCTTCTGTAAGAAATGCTTTGCTGTTGAATGACAGAAGGGAGCCAGAGCATCTTTATAACCAGCGGGTGTGCTTGAAAAGCGCTGCATTTCCAAATTCACCTTTGTGTTGTGTGGAGCAGCACAGCTGTCTGCCGGGAAGGTCAGTGACTTCATAGAATTAAAGGGTGTTTTAGTGCTTTGTGGACCATCCCCGATTGCCAGTGCCTTCACAAAGGCTTCTTCAGCTTAGTAACTAGAGTAGCGACGGTCCTGTCAAGATGGACTGACAGATCTCTCTCAGGCCTTTGTCCCCTCGTAACCCTACTTCCTGAAAGCTGTTGTGAAGGGCCCCACAAAACAATTTGTGGACTGCTATGCTGCCAGTTGTGCAGAACTGTAAAGATCTGGAAGCTTGGGTCCAAGTACAGCACTAAGGCAGAGCTAACTGTGGCTCTGAGCTAAGGAAGTAGGCTGCGTTGCAGGAGAAGGGGAAGGTCTCCAGTGTGTGCTCTGTTGCCGACTGTAGCTTAGGAGGGCTGGAGAGGCATAAGGGTATGGAGGAGAGCGCAGCGTCAGCCTGGCACACGTGGTGCAGTACAGCTGTCACGTGCTCTGTGCACCAAAAGTGAAAGTGGGCTAACTATTGCTTTGGTGTCGCAGCCCTGACCCCAAGGGGCCTGCGTCATCACCAGTCTGCATCATCGGGGACAGCTTCTGCAGCGGAAAGGGCCTCGGCAAGTAATGTGTTTACTGCCACATCTTGCAGTAAAGTTGTGTTTCCTTTCCTCTGTCAGTAGAGGTCTGGAGTGGCTATTTCTTATTGGGTGTTAGTATAGCACTTTCACAGGTGGAATGTAACTGTTGGGACGAAAAGATCTGTCAGGCAGCAAGATCTTCTGTCTCTGTTAGAGCTACTGTGACCTTTTGCTAGTCGTCTTTTTTT